GATTAGAGGGCGATTTTGGGAGATGTATTATATTTGTATACATTCGCTTGTACCATGGTCGGAGATACCCTGGTATTGTGTTTCTTTCGGCTGTCAGTTATCCCTCTCTGGTTTTGTTGCTGTTTGCTCTTGTTCACTTAACTTCGCACTTCAACTCTACCTGTTATCACAGAGAAACACGAACTTCTTGGACAATAGATCCCCCTTCTCTCTCATTTTGGAGGTGTCTTGTTTCCCTTAGAAGTTAAGCTGGAATTGCCTCGGTTTCAGTAAATTAATCAGAAATTTATATTCAATACACTCAAGAGTGTCATGTTCTGTGAGTAGCTACGTTTTTCCATCAGTATGCTCTTACTTGGGATGGAAGGCAAAACTGAGGCAAGTTCTGAATTGTGCCTTGTTCCTTTCTCCCAGAACACTAATATTCAGTAATCAATAATTCAAATAAACAATAGAAAACCATGGAGTGCTATTATTTAATTAAAAAACTACAGCTATGAAGCTATACCCTTGGTCTGATGAGAAAAATCTGTTTCTTCAAATGGTCTGATCCAAAAAGAAACTCAATGGGAATTTATATTTTCAAAACACAGCCTTCTTCACTTAAAAAAAAGAAAAAAAGGACTCATATACTCTTTTTTGGGCTGGGTGGAATGAAGCAGCAGAAAGCACTGGTGTGTGAAAGAGAAACAGGACCGGCTGAGCAGGTCCTTAGCTACTTCCTCCAGAAATTCCAGATACTATTCTCCTGCCAGAAACTCAGAACAAGGAGATCAAAGTGATTTTGGCCAGGTTTGATTTATTCCTAGCAGCGCTCAGGCTTCAATTCAGAGACCGCAAGAGCAGGACGAGTAACTGAAGTCAGGCTGGCTTATGAAGGACTACACCGAATGAGTGAAGATAGCATCAATCCTGGAAAATCAGCATTTGGGGGGATGAAGGAACATTTGATTCCCAGATACTTATGAAACTATTAAGGTTCAAAACTTGAGGTCTGCAGACAATTCACCCCTCTTCACTTCCTTGTCATTGCCAGCCAAAATACGGCTCAGCCATCACTGCTGTGCCGTGTGTGCTCTGATCAGTGTATCTGAAGCATCAAAGAATATTTAAGAAAGACTTCATGAGATCTGTAGATTTTTAAGAGTTTTGACTCGTGCCAAATTAAAGCGAACACAAAGCATGCTTCCATAACTTTGTGATGACTAGAAAATTGGTATTTATGACAGCAGTATGCTGCTGTAGAAACAACGGCATTGTTAGAAATGCAGTGGTACTGTTGCAGAATTCAGTGGAAAGCAGCAGACTGATGCACAGGAGACATCTCTTGGTGTAAACAACCTTCACATTTTCTCACAGAAAGAAAAGCTAATCAGAAAAACCTCTGTGGGTAAAATATTTCAAAAATCCACACCTAAGCATTAACTGCTTCCATTTTATTGGCTTGCCCATCTAATTTAAACTCCAAGCTGTAAGATTGATCTAGGAAAAAAATTCTACATTAGGTGAACCCAGAATTAAATCTTAATGGACCCCAGTTGTACCGCTCCACAAAACACATTTTCCTCCTCCTTATAGTTGTTCAACAGCCAAGATATGTCAGTGAAGTATTAAGGCCACATTACTCTGCCCTTTTACAAGCTTTATCCACATGTTCCACCTTTCCAATTATATTTTGCTGTTTCTTATAAAAACCTCAATATTTTTAAAGTAACTGACCTTATAAGATGGATAACATGGGCTTAAAATAAACGGGTAAAGAAGTGTTTCCCAAGGAACAAAACAAGGTTAGAAAAGTTGCTCTAAGGCTAATCATAACCTTGCATGATCCAGATTTACAGAAGCCCGCTTACACCCAACCGCTTGTTCCGCTGCCCTGATGTGCTCCTGCTCGCAAGGCGGGGAAGCAGGTACTACAGATAACCGAGTACCACCAACGGAACTGATGAGCAATAAAAACAGGCAATAAACCAGTTACAGATTTAAGCATTGCTTCACCACAGTTTGTTCCTAATCAAAGTCCTTAAGGATAATCTGGTCTTGAATCCTGAAAGAGGATAGTATTAATCCAGAGTAAAATGAATTAGCACTAAAGAGAGGTTAAAAAAAATGTTCCAGGTCACAAACAACACAAAATAACCCAGTCAGCAGGGAAAAAAACAAACCAAAAAACCTAGTAAACCTTTTTGTGTTGGTTTTTCAAATAGAGACAACTATCTCATATTCTCTCAATAGGCTATGGCAATTTCAGTTTTAAAACATATTAAATTCAATAATTCAAAGCTGGTGAAGTGAAGCAAACAAGGAAAAAGCATTTCTGGTGTATTACACCCTTCTGCACGACCCACCACCCCCTCACTTCTTTAAGGAGAATAAAAAGAAGCTGTAGGTCTAACAGTCAACATTCACATTCATGTTTTCCCTGCCAGCCCTTCCCTCATCCACCCTGCAATCTCACCAACTTTTGAACCAAAAAGGCTCCTACAAGAGGCAGCTGGTTTTTGAACCCAGCACTCAGATGCCAGCACACAGCCAGCGCCTGAAATGTATTGGGGGAGCTTTCCCTCACTCCCAGCTCCTGCATACCTCCCACCTGCTTTTTAAAGCAAAGTTCAGAGAGATGACAATAACAGAAGAGACCCAAGACACTGTGCCTTAAAAATCCTCACTCCTGATTCCAAACTCTTTGCTTGGGTCCTAAACAAGCGCTGAATTTCCTTGGATTCTTAAAAGCACGCCAAGAAGTTCCCATACCAGAGCAGCACTCCTGTCGTACCTTCGGCGCTGGTGTTACATGGCTCTCTCCCCAAGAGCACATCAGACTATCAACACGTTATCGGGAGTGATTTTGAAAGAGAATGTTAATGTTGTAGTGAAACCCGTGTTACAGAAGTACCGAAGCAAGGGCAGACTAGAAAGGACTACTGGAAGTGCCCCTTCTTGTTGGCAGTTTCCCTAAGACACACACATCATAGTTAATCATATTTTACTTCTCAATTCCACAAAGTTATTTACATGAATCTCAGAAAGCTTGAAGGAACCCAGCACCCCAGGAACGGCAAAGCAAAAGAGGATCAATCTTACCCGTGACAGTCCCTAACATATTCAAGCTGGACTGATCAAATTTCTCACACGGCCAGCCCTTAATGCATCTTTTTTTTTTTTGACTAATACACTCAGACAAAAACTTGCCGTTAATGACAACCAACACGATCATGTTCTTAATTAGTAGCCAACATTTCAAAGCTGTTAACTTCCCTGCTTCGCTTGACATACTTAGCTGAAGGCAGAACAAGACTGTTTTCCTGTTGGTATCTCACACCAGAAGAGAAATCAAGTGTCCTTTCCACTGTACATCTTTTCTTTCCCCCAACAGTAAAATCAACAGCGACAAACACACTGAAAATTTGCCAGTACAAACAGCATCAAGGGGTTTTTTTGGTTATGTCATTTTTACAAGTTCCTTTTACGCACTGTGTCAGTAAGAAAAAAACACTAACAGAGAAATTAAAGAACTCAGAGCAGGCAAAACTCAACATAAAACAATTATATCATTTCCATGTGAAAAAATATGCAACATTGCCAGCAACCAGCAACTCTGGTGTCATACCCTTTGCATGCTGAAAACTTGAAAAAGAAATAAAAAAAATTTAAAAGGTACTAAAATATACTGCAATACACTTCCTACAGTTTTGCAACCAGTTGTAATGTGTTGTACAAGACCAATGCTGACAACAGAAGCTTCAGCTTTTGTGGTTAATATCCTGAGCAATTAATGCAACTCAGCAGGAGCTTATTGCCCAGAATGGCAACTATCACATTGTCATTCCGGTCAGACACAAAAGCACCTGCTAATGTGCAAGAGGGGTACAACTGTGGCTGAAGCCACTGCTAGAACCTGTTAACCACAGATCCAACAATTCCTTAAAAAAAAAGAAAAAAAAAAAAGAGGGGGGAAGAGGGGAAGAGAGAAAGCGAGCACACACCCACGCTCACAAGCGCCGAGCACCACCACAGACATCAATACTGAAGAAAGTCTACGTGTCCTCCTTCACTGCGGTCTCACAAAATAAACTTGTAAGGAGTGAAATGGAAGATTTGAGCAAGAAAGCTTGGAGAAGGAAGAAGATATATTCTGATAGCAAGAGACAGTGGGTGAGCTACACTTGTAGACTATGCACTGGTAAGGAGGACAGTTTATTCCATAGTCAGCAGCAAGATGCTCAGCAGTGACAATTGCCCTTTCCAAATGTCCTGCTTACACTACCCAGAGCACTGCAAAGTCCAAAAGAAGCAGAGGTGCCCTGTGTGTCGAACAGGAGCAGCTTCTTGCGCTGCCCTGGGTGAGTGTGAGTGGTTTTCTGTGCCTTCCCAGTCCGCTGTCGCTGCACGTGTGTTTAACCTTCCCAGCGTGCAAATTCAGAGCAAAAGGGGCAAACCACAACTGCAACTCATTTGTTCTTGTAGAGGTTCCCCAACTTCTCATTTTTAAAGAATAAAGTGCTAAAGCATTCTGAAATGTTATTTTATATTTTTCCAAATAAATACAGACTTGTCATGTTGGTCTGGTCTCTTTGCTTCCTCAAGTGTCAGTCCACAGATCAGGCGAGACAAACAAGTCAGCCCACGTGCTTCCATTTACACAGCTGGGCTACATAAAACCAGAGGTAAAGGCACAGACAAATTTAACTTCCCAGGAAAAACTGAACTTCCTGAGCCACAAGTTCCCAAAAACACTCAAAGTTAATATTCCTGTGCACATAATATATTATATAAACCATATACTGCCATACACCACAGTTTGAACTCTACAGCCCAGCTAACCAAGTCTCTACCAAGGAGAGATCAGTGTCTTACTAGCAAAGCAGCTGCTATTTCAGGAGATAAAGATTTACTCAGAAGGAGCAAGGAGCTACAGGAAGAGATACAGCCTAAGAAATCTTGCCATCTCACTGGAGAATGGGGCAGGGAAAAGGAGGAGATGTGAAAATTTTCCTTACCAGTTTGAAGTCTTGAATGCTGCAGATGAAATACGGGGTATTCGGCCGGCGACTTTCAATATATACGCAATCTTTAAAAAAAAGGAAGATTTTAAAATAATGGAAATTAACTTCTGTACCTCCAAGAAAGAACATAAAAACAGGATAAATTAAAAAACAGCTTAAGCTTAGAAAAAGACACCATTTCATTTGCATAGCATGTAATTTATTCACAGTGTGATCCAAAAATAGGAGCTTGACACTTTATGATGATAAATAAGGTAATTAACTGCATAAAAATTAACTTTTACTCGAATAGACATTTTGCTAGAAAAACAAAAGGAAGTCATATACGACCATTCTGAACGTAGTTAATAAAATGACCAGGTCACAACCTATGAACCAGCTGAAAATAAGACAGGAAACTAATCAGATCTTCTGTGGGTAGCTTGCTATTAAGAACCTCGCACGAACGTATTTTCTCTTCTAATTGTGAAGAAAACCAAGGCAACCAATCATAGATGAAATGCTCCAAACTAAATTAGATTTACCTCAGGGAAGGTCTGGGCTTTCTCGAATTACATTTGACATGACAGAAACCGAGTAATTATTTTTGTTTGCTTTTGACAACTGAACTCTCCAAGGTTGCTGTAAAATAAGGTCTGATGTATTTAAAACAGCCTTGGCAATAACCACCACAAAAGCAGTGCCTCGGAATAAAATTACAGCAAGGATGGGAAAGAAGTGTCTGATTAACGATAATGACCTCAGAAATCAGAAAACTCACACACAACTTGCTAGAAGGCAAAGATGCTACTCCCAAAGCCAAACAAATATTTAAAAATTTAAATATTTAATATTTAAGTTCTCCTTTTGTATTCAGATAGGTAACTGCTATTCAAAAGACAAGAGATTCAAAGAACATCGGCTATTCTATGAATGATTCTCTGTGAACCTGTTTGTATTTCTACAGAAAAATTCCAAAGTCTTAGATTTTTTATAAGACATTTTGAAACACAACTAATATGCTGCTTCACGTGTCTAAAAGCTGTTCCAGACAAACACTTTCATGTTCTCATGCTCCACAAAGAGCACTCCTAAGGATGCATGGGCATTGCTGATAGCAATAAAACACCTTCCTCCTGAAAGCAGAAAGGAACTCTTCATTGATCATTTGAGAGACAGCCTGTAACTCAGGACTTCTCTCAATACTGAGTTACTCAAAGATCAATTTAAGAGAATGAAAGCCAGCAGCTATCTAGCAGGGATACCTCAGGACTACCAAAAAGTGCAGAGAGAGTCTTAGCAGCTCCATCAACCGAGCTGGGAAACGGCCAGGCGTGCCAAACCCACAGCACTTCAGTGCTCTATGCCAGAATTAGGTTGTGTGTCTGACTTTAAATGTGGCAGCAGCAGAATATCCTGTTCCAATGACAGAGGTGTAAGTATTCATTCATTTCAGGTAACCGATGTTTTGCCAGGATCAAAGCAAACAGAGCTTTAAATGCAGTCAGCGCCCGTCCCCAAATCCTGCGCTGCTTGTTGCAGTCACGCAGGTCTGGACTTGCTGATTTGGCCAAAAAGCAGAATCACACCCAGCAATACCAGATGATACCAGTATCCCGGTCAAACACCAACACTTTCACCTTACAGGCACGAAACCATAGCCTGAAGTGGTCAGGCGACAGGCTGGGATTTCACAGTTGTGGTTTTGGGTGTGGGGTTTTTTTTGGATGGAGCAAGGAAATAATTACAGTCCAATACGCCACACCATAAAAACCCCTCCTGCCTTGCGGCATTTCATAGCCAGGGAGTCTCAAATCAAGCCTGCTGATCAGGATGGCTAAAACTCCATATTCAATGGAAGGAATTCAAAGGTGTTTCTCAGTCATACTGACCCATGACTTCAATCAAGACTGGAAAAGATGCTGCTCTTTAGGTGGTTACAAGTCAGGAAGGTCACCCTAACTTCAGCAGAAGTCTTCTGAAGAAACTCTTCAAATGATGAGCACAGCTCACCGTGGTCTGCATCCCCAGAGAACATGAAAGCAGCAAACAGCTAAAAGCCATTACTTCAGCTGTCACCAAAGCCTTGCTGTGAGATCACGGATCAGGGGCTTTTCAAACAGAACTGGGAAAAGGTTAGGCACTCCTCTTCAGAATAAAACCCATTTAGCACAAATACTACCTTGGCGTGAACATGTTAGGCAGTTCCTTGAATTAAAAAATTAAATCCGTGGAGCACAGTTTGCAGAACAGATCACCTGCTCAGGAGCATCGAAAGCACAGGCAGAAAAGTACGAACCGAGGGCTGAGTGACAGCAACAGCGCACAAAGGGTGGCCTGGACTTAACAGAGAGCATCTGCAGCATCTCACATGTTTGTGCCTTGTAAGAAGCCAGGAGTCACTTCCTGCTGGGTTATCACATAACCATAGAAACCATCTGGAGCAAAGCCTGTAAATCCACGTGTCACATTTCTACCTGCAACACTCTTTGTAAAACAGGCTCCTTCAGCTCACCCTTCTCCATCCATCGCAAACTGCGCTGTTAATCACTCCGCAAAGCATTTGATAAAGCCAAATGAGCTTGATAAAACAGATTTCTTCTTTCCAATTGAAGATCTGTTGGTTATTTTACAGTAAGAGTCAAAGACCCAGGACAAGAATCTGGATTGATCTGAAATCATAATTTTATCAGCATCAGTGCAGCTCCTCTCCAAGTACACAGAAGGAGCGTAACTACAGCAGAGCTGTGTCCTCATCCCCACTAGAAAACACACAAAGGTAACTCAGAGCTTGAGTTCGGAACCAGAACTTAGCGTGCAAGTTCCAAACCACGCATCCTGACGTTTTTCCTATTAACTAAAATCTAACCTTGTTTAGCTTACACAAACTTAACTGAAACCTTGAAGACTCTGTTACTATAGCAAGTTTGGATCATTCATTACAAAAGCATCCACAAAAATAGCACTGCACATTTGAGTACGGCTTGCCTTTTCCAAATGACCAATTTCAAGTTGTGTATTTTCCTAGCTAGGATAGCAGCAGCTGTTGCAACAGCATGCATGTGTACATTTGAAAAGCTTGAAATAGCCTATATGTAATCAACCATCAACAGCAGAAGAACGGTAATCTATTTGACTTTAACTCACACTTACGTAGCATTTTCATCCAAAATCTTGAAAACTCCCCAGAAACTATTAAATCAGGGAGGTAAGCATCTGAACTACCTCTCACCAAATGCACCCTCCTCACCTCTTGCGCTGATGCAGTATGATTCAATCCAGTTTATTCAGAAGCTATGGCAATATAACCATATCAAAGTATTCCTGCTCAGCGTCGCTATCTCAGACCTCCTTGGCCAATCGCTCCATTCAGACAGCCCTCTGCTCAAGCCAACTGCTCCGGATCCCAGGTGAATCATCCATCTACAGGATGTTCCACCACTCATCTGCAGGAAGTTTTTCCAGCTTCACTGGAGAATGTGTACAAAAAGCTACAAGATTTCAGAGACAGGAAACACCACAACTTCCAAGATTTTCTTCTAAATATCTCAGTTTCGCAAGCCTCGTTTTCAAAGTACTATCAGACAGCACACACAGAACAAACAGCTCAGCATCCCTCCGAAATGGCTGATACAGAAGAAAGAATCTGGCATCCACTATGGATAAAGCAAACGTGTTGACTCTCCAGTATACTGCAGTTAAGTAAGGCACGCGTGGCTGCCTGCCAAGATTTAAAACAAAGATGACATCCAGTTAACAAGCCTCCAAAGCAACAGAGGCCATACAGATAAGAAAACAAGCTAATTCAGGTGCAAAGCAATGTCATGAACGCTAGAAACTGGGAAAATGCCAAAAGGAGAACATTTATGGATGCATTCACATGAGCCACTCAAAACTCACCATAAGGAGCAATCCCTTTCATTTACCAGAAATCCAAAACACAAATACCTTCAAGAACAGCTCCAATGTGGACCCAAACAAAGAGAAACCACAGATCATTTCTCTAATGCAAACCTGCAGAGGTAAGACTTATGCCCACAAAAAAATACCGAACAGCTCCTTATCCTTAGCACACTGGAATGTGCTATTGCACCCCCTTTTTTTTTCCCCACTACTCACATACTTCTGGAACATTTTCAGCTCTATATGGCTGCAGAGAACTTCTGCATAGACTTTGACAACTTCACTCACTCCTCATCACTGTTGCTCAGGCTGCTTTGTGTCCTACTGCCACTTTAACAACTCCAAACGATGGCCCATTTTTCACAAAGAAACAGCTGAAAAACCTAAAATCGCAAAATAGAGATTCCTCACACAGACAAGTTCACTTGCTTCTGAATTCTTTTACTGATCAGCAGGTTTATACCAATGGAGTGACACATACTCTCTTCATGCTAAATGGGAGTCTGAAGCTCGAGGCTGTTTGTCAGCATAAAATACATGAACCCAGACCCATTCTCCCTTCAGACACCTGAAAAAAAATTCAGGTCAGTTATTTCAACATCTATTATTCTACAAAGGAACTCACAATACAGGCATGTTCCAGACAACTACTTGCTTCTGCAATATTAATATTAATGTCTACTAACCTTAACATTCAACCCCTTCTGCTCAAAAAGTCCAACGACAAAAATCAAACCGACTAAAATTTCCTAATTTAAACATGTCATTAATTGAATGGCTCAGAGTCACATCCACTGCCGTTGCTCTAAGGTGATATACAATGCCGTCATCTGCAAAGACCCCTTGAAAATGGAACTGAAGGATGTGTTTCGTTAGGCAAGGCTCATGACCCTCTTTAGAGACAATCATACCACTAACAGAAGAGATGCCTGATTATCTGTATTGACTCAGTGAAAAATCAGCAAAATAACAAAATTCCTGTAAAGGAAGCTATAGTATGAAGCAAGCAAAAATTGTTGCTCTGAACACCCTTACACACTTTCAGTGTAAGTTAATTTCTTTTACTGAAAGACATTCATTCTCTCATCATTCTCCATTTACTACTAAAAAAAGAGCAAGCATGAAGCAAGTGACCACAGAGCAAACGGGTGTGCTATCAGTTCACACTCTGGCTTTCTGCATG